AAGATTTTGAAATGAAACGATTCAAAACCGCAATTCGTCCTGTTAACCTCTTGATGTCTTTGACGGATTTCGGAGATTCAATATCAATAATTGCTCGTATTTGTTCCGGGCTCGCCTCTATTCCTCGCTCGCTGACGATATATCCTAAAAATTCTCCTGACGTCACTCCAAAAGTACATTTCGCTGGATTGATCTTTAGGTTGTACTTTTTCAGTCTTCTGAAAGGTTCCGTCAGATGATAGATATGATCCTCTTTCTTCTTTGACTTGACGATCATGTCGTCAATATACACTTCCATGGTGTCCCCCATCAGATCTTTGAACATCAAGGTGACTAGCCTCTGAAACGTCGCACCTGCATTTTTTAGTCCAAAAGGCATAACAATATAACAATACGTACCTGTTTCAGTGATGAAGGCTGTGCTCTTTTGGTCATCGGGGTGAAGCCGTATTTGATGATATCCACTGAATGCGTCCATGAAGGATAACATTTCATGCCCCGCCGTAGCGTCAGCCAAAACGTCAATGTGTGGCATCGGAAATGAGTCTTTGGGACATGCTTTGTTCAGGTCAGTGAAGTCCACACATACTCTCCATTTGACTGGCTTGCCTTCTTCCTGCCCTTTCTTTTTCTGAACAACAACAACATTAGCTAACCAATCGGGATACTTTACCTCCTTTACCTTACCGGTTCGAAGCAGCGTATCAACTTCCTGGTTTATGATGGCATTCCTTTCTTTTGCAAAGCGTCTTCTTTTTTGTCTGACGGGTTTGTGTAATGGGCTGACGTTTAATATGTGAGTTATGATATTAGGATCAATACCTGTCATGTCATCGTGACTCCATGCAAACACGTCCTTATGTTCTTTGAGGAAGTTTATCAGCTCGTCTTTGAGGTGCTTTGGTATGTCTTTCCCGATGCGGATGACCCTTTCAGGATGTTCTGGGTCGATGGCGACTTCTTCTGTTTTGGCGTCATCTTCCACCAGAGCGGGGCCACCCTTTAATTGCTATGCGATCCTGGAGGCAGTTTGGTCCGCAGTTGGCTTCATCGCCGTTTGGTAGCAGGAATTGGCTGACTGTCGATCCCCCTGATGCTTTGTACTCCCCACGGTGTTGGAAACTTGATTATCTGGTGATAAGTCGATGGAATTGCCCCCATTTAATGCAACCAGGGAGTTCCCAAGATCATGTTGTATGCTGGTATGCTTTCGACTACGTCGAATTTGACCTGCATGTTTAGACCATGGGTATATATGGGTAACGAAATGTTACCTACGGTTTTGCTAGGCTCTCCATTGAATCCGACCAAGCTTGACCCGGATCCTGTTATATCTTCCTCCTTGGCTCCCAGCTCTTTCAATGTTTTCATGGTGGTAATATTCGCGGTGCTTCCGTTGTCCACAAGGACTCGTTTGACTTCGCAGTTTGCCACTCTAAGGGAGACCACCAACGTATCGTGATGAGATTGTATCGGATCAGAAATGTCCGTTTCATCAAATGTGATTGACACATTTCTCCATTCCTCTTGACGTTTTCCGATCCTGTAAACCTGCAATGACTTGTCTCGGGTGTAATCCCGGGCGTGTCTTTTTGCTGCAAAATATGTTAGTCCACATGAATCAGATCCACCGTTAATAAAGTTGATTACCTTACATGGCGCATAGGGTGAAGGTGACTTGGACTCATTTGGTGACGCTTTATCGTTCCGTCCTAACAGTGATTTGGTGCGTTCAGACATGATCTCCGTCAGATAACCGTTTTTCAGCAAATAGGCCACCTCCTTCCTTAATGCGACGCAGTCCTCCGTGTTGTGTCCGATATCGCCGTGGAAATCACAACGTTTATTCGGGTCCCGACGGCCCGTTGGCTTGTCCGTCCTTCGAGGCCACCTGACTTTTTCTCCTAATTTTTCCAGAGAGTGAATGAGGCCCGGAGTGGCAACATTGAAACAATAGTCATTGATGACAGGTGGTAAGTCTGGATCGTCGAGCCAGTTTACTATCGACGATACCGGCCTATCCTCGGTTCTGACATAGGGTTTTCCGGTTCTGTAATCATGTTTTTTGGATGTGCTTGATTTACGTTGCCCTCCGTCATATGCATCCTGCCGATGTCGTGTCTGCTGATCTTCTTCTAGCCTGATGAAGGCCAAGGTTTTAGCCTGGACGTCTTCAAAGGTTCTGCACGGGTATTTCGTCAATTCCCGGTATAATTCTGAGTCGTCGGATAAGCCTCTCCGAAACGCTTCAACTGCTGTCGGGATATCGCACCGTGGAATGGAAACTTTTTCTTTGTTAAAGCGGTGTAGGTAATCCCGTAACGATTCGCCGCGTCGCTGTATGATTCTGTAAAGGTCGCTAGTTTGCTTTTCAAGAATTCGACTACTCGCGAACTGATGATTGAATGAATCGACCAATTCTGCAAATGACCCGATACCCTCATTAGGTAGATTGACAAACCATTTGAGCGCTGGGCCAGCTAATGTTGCCCCGAAGCCGCGACACATGCATGCTTCCCTTTGATCCGGTCGGAGCGATACGGCAAGCATTCGCTGCTTGTATTGGGCGACATGTTCCACCGGGTCAGATGTGCCGTCGAACATTTTCATGGACGGAACGTTGAATTTGCGCGGCACTTCGACATCTGTGATCTGTCTGCTGAAGGGCGAGTCCGCATAACACGTCTTTGAGGCTCGATCCAACGAGAGGGGTACTCCGGGCAGTCCGTTGATCTTATCCTGCATCTGTCGGAGTTGCTCCATAATCATTGCTATCGGATTCACCTGGACTGGCTGAATGGATTCAGGCGCCGAGACTGTCAATCCTGCCAGCGGGGTTGCTTCGGGACGGGTTGGTGACGGAATGATTATGACCTCAGGGTGTCGCCCTCCACGATCCTGCCCTACTGAAGTGGCTGGTCTACGCTGCCGTTGTGCCTGAAGCACGGGTGGCAGCTCGTCGAATATACTCCGTGTCCTTTCCTGCATGAGACCAGACGGTCCAGGTTCGTCGTGGGTCCTGCTTTGGTAATGAGTGACATACGGCTCCGTCGGGGCTGACGTCATGGGTAGGCTTTGAGTGGCCGCCTGCAGTCCCATCCTTCTCGATCCCGGGCGCAACGACTCCGGGAAGAAGCAAGTCGGAATGCTTGGGATAGGGGTCGTTTCAGGGATGAGAGGCGTGTACGGTATCACTTGAGAGATGACGGTGGTTTGTGACTCCCCGGCCGGTGAGAGGCCCAATGTGAGGGATATGGGCTCGGAAGCGATGGTGGGCGTGTCCGTTGCCGTCGGAATGGATTCCAAATCTAGCCTCGTGATCACGGGCATGAGATCGTTCCTTCGATTGCCCCTAGAGTTGGATGCGATTGAGACGGCTGACTGAACTTGGGATCGTAATAGATCGTTCTCTCGTTGGAGATGTGCCATCCTTTCCGCCAATTCCCGGCGAAACTCCGTTCGAACTGCCTCCATTTGAGCGTGGATTTCCTCCAACAAAAGGCTGTTTCCGGTCATGGTTGATGATCTTTCCTTGCACGAGGCCCCACGGTGGGCGCCAAATTGTTTAAGCAAGAATTAAACTACTCTAAATTTATATGTATGTAGGGATCGTACAAGAAACAAAATGTAAAAACCAAAAGATTAATGAATGAAATGTATTGATCTAAATGAATATCTGAAGGAATGGTGTTACAAATGCTTAGATAATCAGGCCAGGTTGATCGTGCCCTCTACTCTAGGTTTTTCTCCATTTATACAGCAATATGACTTTATCCATATAGTTCAACCGCCCGCCGAAAATGTCGCCGAGTCCCTAGGCCCCGTCATTCGGTTGAGTTCCCCTACTAAGTCCATCCTTATCCGATTCGTTGGTCATTTGTTTAGTTGGACTTCGCCTCTTAGGGATGGGCCGATCTGTTTGCACTTCCTTGGCCCAACAGCCTCTTCAGCTCCCATCATCACATCCTCTCTTGGGTCAGTTGGGTGCTGCCGCTACCAAAGCTTCAATTCAGTCGCGTCACCACCTTCGCCGCCGTAATATCCGCTAGGCATGACATTGGGTCGAGGCTGAGCGGGTACCGCAAGACCCAGACCCGCCCCCCTTGGCTTGATGGGGCGGGTCCGCCCCGCCCCGTGACCTGCAGGATCCAAACTCGTTGACCCATGGCCTGCCCCATGCAGGGCGGGTCCGCCCCGCCCCACCTTAACCTAATTTCTAATTAGCTAGTATGTATTTTTATTTGTGAAAAATTGTTACCAAATGAATCTACATAAAGTTTATCTTTAAATAATTATTACAAATTAATATATTAAATCAAATTCACGATACATTAGAAATTTCAAAAGTTTATGAAATACCACTTAGACTTGAATAGTTAATCTATTTAATTATATTAATACATGAATATATGTATTAAAATGCTATATATAAAAAAGACATTGATAATTCGTCGTTCATCTCAATCTAATATATATATTATAAGATCAAAGAATTTATGATTCATTATATACACACATATGTATATTGAAGTATATTTGTCGTATAATTTAAGAAAAATTATGTATATACTTATATATTGAGCGAGTCGGGGTGGGGCGGGACGACACGAGTCAATACTTATACCCGGACCCAGCCCATTGTATAAGGGAGGCGGGGTGGACCCGCCCCATTTGCAAGACGGGGCGGGCCAGACCCGTCCCAAATGTCTCGAGCCAGGGCGGGTCATTTCGGCCGGGTTTTTTTGACCTCCTTAATATCCGCCACCACCTTTGCGACGCCCACCACCACCTTTGCGACGCCCACCACCGTAAGCTTTAGCACCACCTACTTCACATCACCACCGTAGCCTTCTCATCTTCCGGTCATGGAAGATATATTCAACGGGTTGTTGTAGACTTGTAGCAGTAGAAAATAAAGAAATTTTATTAAGGATAAATTTGTAAAGTTAATGTGTTTGTTTAAAACAAAATTATGTATATGGGTGTGTTTAGTAAAAGTAGGGCGAATTACACTTGTTTTTCCGCATAAAAACAGAACCCAGCCCGAAATGATCGGTGATATATTTGCAGCAAAAACGAACCCAATATGATCGTTTCTTTCTAGTTCTAATGCTCTCCCGTTTAGCAGTGATCATAAAACACTGCAATTCCGCAGAATTATAAACAAGCGCACTTCAATATTTGCAATTTGCGATTCTTGTTTTTTCAACCGTTCAACTTAAGTGATTTTATAGCTGCCGATTGTCCAAAGTAGTCGCCTTCCATAAAATCCGGTACTATGGCACGTTTTTCCGTACTGTCCTGACGTTCAATCTCGAAATTAGTCTTGAAAGCTTAATTTCTTCTGATTTCTTTAGGGTTTCGTTTGAATCTGCCAATGGTGGCTATTGAATTTAGTTGAAATTGCTTTCAAAAGATCATAAACCTTTCTGTATCAGCAAGTTTGTGGTGTTGTTTAGTACTCCGTATACGTTTTATGGAGTAGAGCACTTAAGAAAGCTAAGGAGTATGAAGAGCTCAACTGTTGCCACTCTTTAAAAATGTTAAATTGTAGATAGAATGTGGTAAAAAGAAGTTAACGAACATGAATTACATTAGTACGTATTCGAGATTTTAAAACTGCCCTTTCTGGTGGGCGATACTTTCAAAGAAGGTAATGAATTTAATCTATAGATTACTTGAAAATGAAGCTAGTTTGTTGTGATTCAGAAATGTTGTACAGTGAGATTGGGCTTACCATACACACACGTGGTATATATGTGTGCGTGAGTGCATATTCCTGTACTATTATTCACCATTTTGAGTCTTTTCATTCTTTGCACAGGATTCTTTGATTCTATACCTAGAAGATTCAGCCTTCATTTTGAACTTCCATCATTTTCTCTGGCTCAGAATACAGAGTACTGGCTTGCGTCAAATTTTGCTGGTTTTAGGACTTATAGCTATTTGAAGAACAGGTAGTTGTTAGAGAAGCTGATTGAAGAGCATGGGTCAAAGTCTCTTTAACATTGTATAAGAGAGAGTGTTCTCAATGACTTGCCACTAGATTTGTTCACCTATTAACAATTTAACATACAGTAACTTCGTTTTGGCATGGGATGGAAGCGGGTATTATTTGTACTATTTTATTTCATAAGTTTGGTCCAGTCATCAGGAAGAATGGGAAGCTTTTTGATGGTGAATGTAGGTTCTGGATCAGTATCACTTTATAGCTGGGCAATTGGCAGTGCAGGAATATTTGTGTTGGTTGCTCTGGTATTGTCCATGTATCTGATCTTTGAGCATTTATCAGCTTACAATCAGCCAGAGGTTATCATCAATGCCATTTGAATACTTATACTTACTGCTTATTTATTTTTTCTGTGTGTGTAATTCAGCGAATATCGTCTTTTTGGCTGCTTAGTTGAGTTTGTAACTGGTAGAAGTTCTATTATTTATTGCAGGAGCAGAAGTTTTTGATTGGATTAATTTTGATGGTTCCTGTTTATGCGCTAGAATCGGTATGATAACATTTAGCTCTTTTTTCATTTGTACTCTTCACCTTACGGATTTTACTCAATACTCACTCAACTTTTCTTGTTAAAAGGAAAACAAAAGCCTAGGAAATTAAATCTGTGATGGTTACAAACTTACGAACCAAGACTTAATGGAACAATGGTTTATCATTGTTTTCTCTACTTATTAGCAATCCTCATCCTCTCCATTACTACACACCACATACATTCTATAGTGAAAACTCATTGTACTGGTTATAGTGAGTGTACTCTGCATAGTAAATAACATGTAAAGGATTTAAAACCTCTGCATTTCCATAACTTGGATTTTTATGCGAAGTTCAGACAAGAGTGACCCAAGGCTAAAAATCATACCAGAATTGTCATTGTAGCGATAGTATGGGTACAAATTGGCATTTTAAAAGGATTAAAAATAACATATAATAGAAGATTGGCTTTTTGGTTAATGTGAAGATGCATTTAGCATTTAAAGAGCTTCCTGTTTAACTTGATCACTCAAAACTTGTTTCTTATGTGAGCACCTTAAATACTCATGGCTTTAAAGTGATCATTGGGAAATTATTTTGATCTGTTATTTGGAACAATATTTCCCTTTACTTCAAGATACTTTTTCATGGTATATCATTGTATGTTTTTTTTGTTCTGGGACAGTTCTTATCACTCTTGGATTCAAAAGCTGCTTTTAACTATGAGATCATTCGGGATTGTTATGAAGCTTTTGCACTATATTGCTTTGAGAGGTATCTCATTGCCTGTTTGGGTACGTTCTGAACAATTCGAGCACTGAGAGCTGTTTTAATTTTTTTGTTGTTGCTTATTTGGACATCTCTTAATGTCTGTGGATGTGTTTGTTTATATTGTATGTTTTGTTTTAGGAAAAAGCGTCAAGCTTAAAAGTGTTAAGTAAAACTGATGCTCCCCTTCGGGCTTTGGGTCAAGTAATTTCTTAGAATTTTTCTTTCCTTGGGAAATATTCCCAATAAAAGATGTCATACACACCGAATCGCATGCAAGGTGCTTGCTATTATTTTACTATCTTGAAGCTATTGGGGTTTGAGGTTATTTAAGTACCATTGCCATTGTGGGTCATTCAGAAACGATCACTTTGTACTTTAGTACAGGGGTAAGGATGCATACATCCGGGGGGCCTTACCCCACCGTTGGTGGGAGCCTTTGCGGCACTGGGGTGGTGATGATGATGATGGTGATGATGATGCCGTTGTGGTGTCTAACAGCTTACAAATAGAGATAAAGATACTGTAGGAGTATTGCTTGTATTTGACTGTGCTAAAGGACTTCTACGAGCACACTGCTAATTGTGTGAGATTTATATAATTATAGTTGGTACCCCTTTAAGTTTATCAATGTAATAATCATGTCCAATTTGCCATATGGCACTGTCTATCTAGATTGGTATTTGGGCAAGCTATTTGAATCATGTTTTCTGCTTTGCGAATTTTATGCTCCCAAAATGTGTTTTTTAGTCTGCGGTGGTGTTATTCCGAAACACTTTTTTGATAGTCTTTTGGATTGATGTTTGATAAACTCTATTTTAAAGTGTAATTTTTTTGCTTTTGGATATTTTTGTTGTGCACAAATACACAATTGTTACTCACTCCATCTTATAACATTCTTGAGATTATTAGGCAGTGAAAGTGTGCAACTGAGATTATTTAGAATGAAATCAGCAATACAACCACAGTTCTTCCTCAAGAAAATCAAAATAACTTCCTAGGACGGCTGAAAAGGGAAAGTAGGAAGAACATTGAGGGTGTAAATAGGAAAAACTGACTTTATAAGATACTAAGAGGTCATTATGATCCATAAATAATAAAACATAAATTGATCAAATCAATAGCTGGACTTTAGCAGGTTGGAGCATGTTCAGTAAAACACTGACAATGTTCGCTTAATGTTAGAGTGCTTTACTCAAAATAAAATTTTGGCAGTCAAAAATCTAAACTGAACCGCACACAAATGAGAAGTCTCTGCAACAGACTAATGAATTTATGTTCTTCTTTTGCTTAAGAATTAAAATAAGTGTCATCAGTTATTAATAAGCAGCACATATGTATTATGAATTTCAGGTGGAGAGAAAAACACCATTGAATTTATGGAAAAACATAGCATGGACACTTCAAGTGCACCTTTATTGGATGATGTTTATGCATATGGAGTTGTGGAGCATCCTTTTCCATTTAATTGTTTTTTCCAGGGGTGGTCTCTTGGTCCTGAGTTTTACCAAGTTGTTAAAGTTGGCATTGTTCAATATGTGAGTTTTCTAAAGTATTCAGATCATTGACAGTCTCATGCCTTACTTTTTATTGGTTTTCCGTGAGTTTGATCTATGACTGTTTTCCAGATGTTACTGAAAATGGTATGTGCTTTACTTGCGATGGGTTTCCATTTTTTGGGGGTTTACGGAGAGGGAAAATTTGAATGGAGATATGCGTAAGTTACTTTACTTTGTCTTCTTCTTCTTCTTCTTCTTCTTCATGCTTTACTAATTTGGACAATTTTTAAAAAACTGTTTCCACTTTTCTTGCTGTGTATTTCTGGTCATGACTTCATGCTGATAATTCCTATGTTCCATTTTGTAAGATGCACGTTCATTTTTGGTCTGTCCCGGAAATATGAACATTTTCTTAATTTTAATTCCACTATTCTTTACTTTCATAATATATTCTTTTATCTATCTTTTCACCTTTTACTTTATCTGGGGGGTTACAGCTGTAAAATAGAAACTCTATTTTTTTAAACATGTACTAAACCCAAACGCATCTTATTTTTTGGGACAAAGGAAGTAATATATATTGAGATATTTTTGTAATAATGACCTACTTTTCGTCTTCATTTTCATGAAGATCTCCCTGTGATATTCATTCTTTTCTAACATGAAAATTTATACTCTGCCTGCAGCTATCCATACCTGGCTGTTGTTCTTAATTTCAGCCAAACATGGGCCTTGTATTGCCTTGTGCAATTTTACTCTGTCACTAAGAACAAATTGGAACCTATTAAGCCCTTGGCAAAGTTTCTGGTCTTCAAGTCAATTGTATTCCTAACATGGTGGCAAGGTATAGCTGTTGCATTTCTTTTCTCGTTTGGAGCTTTGAAAGGGCATTTGGTCCAAGTTCTCAAGACACGCATTCAAGACTATATCATCTGTATTGAGGTTTTTTCGTACTAACGTTTGTAGCATAATATATTTTTATTTGCATATATTTGCAATTTATGTTTGTCTGAGAGGAATATGGGGGATTGGTATTGTGTTGCTGGTGTGATCAAAAGAGGAAGAATGAAATCTATGATAGTAGAGAATAAATATAACCCCTGTTTACTTGTCGTAAGAGTCTTCATGAGCAAGTAGTAGTCTTAACCATTAAAACATTATTACTGTTAAGAATATGAACTAAAATCGAATAAGAGGTTTTTCCTAAAATACTATTGAAATAAAATTTATTGACAAAAATATTACTGAAGTTACTATGAGTATAACATCATGGTCACTTAAGTGTACAAAATGAATATGAAAATAGTCACTAAAAGTTACTACTATAGTCGCTACACTTTGGAGGTCACATTTTTTGTCTATCATCGTTATTTTAGTTATAAATATGTCATTATGCCATAGAATAACTAAGAAACTATTTCTACTACTAATGCTAATTATAGGAATGTAATACTATGTATTGCTAAATAATACTTCCTCCGTTCGAATTACTTGCAACATGGAGGTTGGCCACACAAATCAAGGCATACCGCTAAAGTAAAAAATTTCCATTCCTGCCATTGTATGACACCAAATACACACACTACAGGCCTATAACAACTATACAGATTCATATTTTCTTCCAATTTTTGGATGAATATTTTTTTCAATTTTCAATTCCGTTTCTCGTCATTGATAATGACCTTCCAGCCTCTTTTGATGGAATTACTTGAAGCGCAATTTCCGGAATGACCGGATGTACTTCTTCATTTCAGTTGAATCTTGAAGGGCAGTCAGTGGAGCATGCTAATTTATCTCTTTGATCTTCGAATCTCGTTCCTGAATTTTCATATTGGCAGAAACAACAAAGTGAAGAAGAAAAAAAGTAGAAGTCATGTTACATTGAAAGGGAAGCATAAGTAGAAATAGAATCAATGTGAGAAACTTGTAAGAAATCCATTGTATATGTGGTAGAAATGAAAAGAATTAAAGATGATGAAGAAGAGAGAAAAATGAATATACGTTGGTGGATAGGAAGTACATCAAGGGAGATGACAATAAGTGCTTGGGTAACGAAAAACAACTGAAAAATTGGGTGGGTGGAATTAAATTAGAAGGATTATGTGAGTAAGGGTATTAAGATCAATTTTTGTATCATTCTTTACCTAAAAGAGAAATGTTGCAACTATTTTGTAACTGTCAAAAAAGGTAACTATTGCAATTATTAAAGAACGGAGGAAGTATTATAATATTGAAATAGTTATATGTATGAATCAAACATCTTATTAATGGTATTGGTAGCCTAAGAAAATAATATGATGAAGGATATCACTAAAGGGCCCTAGCTTAGTGTTTTGAGTATGTTTTACCTGTAGTGGTTTTCCCTGTTTCAGTCAGAGGAAACAGTGTTTCATCACTTTCTTCTTAATCCATTCTTGCCTATCTGTATTCAAACTAATTATGCGTTAAAAGTGTGTTTATAATGGTAAAACACTTTACATGGAAAGGAAAATATGTCATACCGTCAATCCTGCCAAAAACATATGTAAGAAGGACCATAACTCCAGTAAAGTAAGGAATTAAAATCATTGAACTAATTATTGACTCGTTCTCCTTTGTTCTCCATGACCTATGCTGCTTTCTTGATACGCTTCTTGTAGATCCCCCCCAACGATGGTATCGTTACACTCTTCACGACAATCAAGTTTGCCTTCGAGTTCAGAATTGATGAATGGCAGCAAAAGGTTGCACTAAAAAATAGTGGCACTTGTCTTTGTAGTTTAGAGTTGGAGCCTCATCAGATTGGCTGGGTTGGAAAATTGAGCACTATAAATGGAGAAGATGGTTGTTTGAGGGAGGGATTTTCAGATGTATGGATTAGTTTGGTCACCAACGAGCCCCAATAGATAGGCAAGGTTTTCAACTTAATTTAGAAGGTCTCTGGAGCAAATCTGTGAGGGTTTGTAGTGGTTGCACTGCAAAACCCGTTTGACACGCCTATTTGGACAGCTTGAACCGCATGGAGTGCCTTCAAATCACCCATGTCTGGATGACGGAACCATATTGTTGTGGTCTCAGGAAATTCGGTGTCAACAGTGTAGTGGGGGCTTGTGTATGGTGCTTAATGTGACTGCCATAGCAGTTTCACTGTAAATGGATAGAGAACACCAGTATTGAATTTTATGGAGTTTCAGTCCTATGTTCTTCTTGGTCTGGTCTAGTTACCTTCTGTTGAAATCAACTGTACGTTTATATAATAGTAATTACAATGCAAAAGCGTAGAAAAGAAACTGATAGGATCCCAGGCTGAAGAAAATTATTGATAATAGTAATAGAGTGATATTAAATAATGGTGGTAGAGTAAAAATAAGGGTTCTGGGCCATGTATATGGGCTTGGGCCGGCCTTTAAGAATAAAATTAGTATAAGAGTGAGAGGGAGGAGAGGGGGAGGTTAGGCAGAAATTGGAATTAGGCTTGGGACTTGGGAGAGGGGACTGCTCGAAGCCTCGAAGTGTCTCATTCTGATTTCTTCTCTTTCTCTCTGTTTACGCCATTGTAATCCGGTTGAAGTTCTGAAAACCTCATCAATAAACTACTAATTTCTACTGTTTTGCTGGAGGGTTCTAACAATGGTATCAGAGCATTCGACGCCTGGAAACGTGGAGAAGCGCTCTTGTTTGCGCAAAGAACATCGACAGTCAGAACTGGCCGCATCTGGTTTGCGCGCGAACAGTGAGAAACGCACCAGCAAGGAAAAGTTATGCGCGAACATGAAGAAGCTCCAGTGTACGCAAGGAGGAAAGGACTCGCGCAGGCAGCAGGGAAGATCTGGTCAGGATGCTTCGCGCGGAAAAGGAAAGAAGCTGGCAGAAAAGGTTGAAAGTGATTGGGCTAAGGAGATGCGTCATATGTTGGGCAAAATTCGTCACAGACTCAAGCGGCATAGAGAGAGCTAGGAGCCCTCCTAGACACTGTCGGCCGATTGAAAATAATCTGGTGTCTTCGTCCGTTGCTCTTCCTAGTTCGCAATCGCGAACTGCATCCTGTAGTTCGCGGACATCTTCGCAATTGCAAGTCTCTTCTCAGTCGCGATCTTCATCTCAAAGCTCGAAATCGCGAACTTCTTCGCAATCACTACCTTCGTTTACTTGTTCGCAGATGGCAACTCAAGCCGCGCCTCACAGTTCGCAAACTTCGTCGCTATCAGTTGTTCTGAGTTCGCAACTTTCATCTCAGTTGCAAGCGATTCCTTCTTGTTCTAGTCCTCTGGCTTCGCTGCGTGCAGATATTGTCAGTTCGCAGGTCGACTCACTCGCCGTATCTCACAGCTCATCCGCTTCAAATTCATTCTCTTCCAGAACCTTCGACCTAGTCGCATCAGGAAAGGGACCCCAAGGGACTCTACCAACAACAAGGAACACAAAATGGAAGCAGGTTGCACCATCAGTTATGGAATCAGACCCCGAAGAGGATGTTTGTTAATCAACCTACAGGCCTGGGACAGGCAGTTTATTTGTGTAGGGGAGATATGAAACCTCCCGAGTTTGCTGTTAAGGATGAACCTCTTGGTTATTTTGATGTTGGAATGATGATAGAATGGAACAAGATCAAGCACTATGAAGAGATTATGGCTGCAGCAGATAACGATTCCGAAAGCATGGATAGGAGAGAGATAACCAAATTCATATCAGTCAAACTCAATGCTGAAACTGACTTTGAAATTGTAATTGGAAATGCTTTGTGGGGGCAAACTTATGTGCAGGGTGTAATTCTCTTTCAGAATTTCTATTTGCTGAAGAGACTACACAGTCCGTCGGTCACAGAAGAAGAATTGGAGGTTCATGGGTGTGCTGGTGTGAAACATAAACCCTCCTTTGGTGGTGGTGTGATGTACTGGAACCCTTCTGAGTTTTCGGGGACTGGATTTTTGTATCCTCCTTCACTTTGTTCACATGAGAGTTCTGAGGTGGGAGGAGTGGCAGATATGAACAGGGTTATGGATGACAGGGTTGCCTTCATTTCCTCTCACAGTACTTCTCTTTGCTCTCCCTTTAATCATTTTGGCTCAGGAATTAGTGAATATGCTATATCAGGAAGTAAAGTTCATACTGGCAAGGTTGCACAGACAGCAATGGCCACAATGATAGGTGAGAAGTATGCCTCAGCTTCCTTGTCTGATTCCAGAAGCCAAAGAGTTCCAACGGTTCACGCTGATAGTTCAAGTTTTGAGCATTGGGGAATAAAGTATTGGCTTCATTATGGAATTAATTTTGAAGAAGTTGGGGTACACTTGGATGTCAGTGGTGTAGTTTGGCCACCATGGAGAAGTAAAAGTGTTTCAGGTCATCAATCAACACAGCCTCTGAACGGAGCATTAATGCAAGATCATTCAATTGCAATATCACATACAACTCGTGTGCAGGAGCCTCCAGATACTTCATTTCCTCTACACAACTATTTGAAATGCTGAACGGGCCTTTAGAGAAAGCATCTCTTAGTTTGATCCACATCAATCCTCATGAAGAAATCAACACATTCTATAAACAGTTGGCTGCCTGTGTTTTCTCATCTGAGGTGAAGGCTACATGCCCAATTTTGTCACTTATGTGGGAGATATCTAAGGTAAAGAGCTTGGAGAGCATTAGTACTAGTGCAGCAACAACAGCTCTAGGCTCTTTTACTACTTCTTTGAGTGTTGCTATTGGGCATAAATCTGGCCAAGTTCACTATTATATGATCGGCAGCAGCTCTGGCTTGGAGAAAACAAGATTGCATTTGATCACTGAACCCAACACTGAAGTTTCCCTTTTCCCAAGTGGTGCTGGGTATCAATGCACAGCTATCTTTTCACTTGTCAGTTTCCCAGTATGCATCTGGCAGTGCATGGCATCAGGATCCAAAAGGGTTATGGCGTTTGAAAGCCGTCAGGTTGCTCTGCTTGATATTGGTTCACCCTCGGTTTTGTTTCTAATGTACAGTCCCTCTAGCTCAAGATCTCTGGTCTTTTCTTCTAAGGCATCTTTGGGTGTTCATCAAAACACTGTGAAACCGGAAGGACTTGCTTTGTGCGTAACCAGAGATGGACACATTATTTTAATGACTAGCAGCATTGGCAGTTTGATCAATTCGCAGCCAGTGCATCCAGAGAAGGATATTGAAAGGAAAGATCAAACAGCACCATCTGATCATGAGGAACAAAACCATTACAAAGATCCCAACAATCAGTGTGTTCTCCAGGCAAGCAAGCTCATGGTTCGGCCATCAGTTAGATATTGGGAAGGAAGAGGCGCCAGGATGAAGATGAAGTTGACGATCAAGGCCTCTTCCTATCACCCACCTTGAGGACAAGGTGGTTGTCTAAGGGAGGAGATATGATAGGATCCCGGGCTGAAGAAAATTATTGATAATAGTAATAGAGTGATATTAAATAATGGTGGTAGAGTAAAAATAAGGGTTCTGGGCCATGTATATGGGCTTGGGCCGGCCTTTAAGAATAAAATTAGTATAAGAGTGAGAGGGAGGAGAGGGGGAGGTTAGGCAGAAATTGGAATTAGGCTTGGGACTTGGGAGAGGGGACTGCTCGAAGTGTCTCGTTCTGATTTCTTCTCTTTCTTTCTGTTTACGCCATTGTAATCCGGTTGAAGTTCTGAAAACCTCATCAATAAACTACTAATTTCTACTGTTTTGCTGGAGGGTTCTAACAGAAGCATCACACTATGAATCATTAAGTAAACACACATAATTACATAAATAAAAACACAAATCAATAAACTACTAATTTCTGATTTCTTCTCTTTCTTTCTGTTTACGCCATTGTAATCCGGTTGAAGTTCTGAAAACCTCATCAATAAACTACTAATTTCTACTGTTTTGCTGGAGGGTTCTAACAGAAGCATCACACTATGAATCATTAAGTAAACACACATAATTACATAAATAAAAACACAAATCAACTATTGTAACAATTGACTAAATCATCATGATTGCTGACTTTGCTGTGTCTAATCCATTGGCTAATTCTTTTTTGTAAATCGTAGAGAAGTGTGTATGGTTCTCAGTAATTTAATGTACAAAGAAAACTTATATATACAAGTACACAATACAAGATGGGCTAGGCCCATACACCTAGACAGGCTACGTTTGGGTTAGGGTTACAGTATATTTAATACTCCACCTCAAGCTTGTTCATATAAATCATTGGATCCTTGCCTTATTACGATTTACAAATATGCTCTATTATAGGAGCACATAGCCTCTGTTTGGTGTAAAGAAAGAAATTGGTAAGAAAGAGAAAGAGAAGATAGAAATAGTAGAGAAATAGGATAGAGTTTGTGTTTGTCTGGTAGGAGAGAAATGAAGAAGCAATATGAACAATTTTGGAAGAAGTATTCTTCTGTCCCATTTCTCTCCATGAGAAAAGAACTGAAATGGGTGATTTCCTAGGCCTTGAAATGTTGTGTTTTGCTTGTTTATTATGACAAGTTCAATATGTTAATTATTGCGATTTAGCTGATTAATTACATTGTTAGCCTTTGGTCTTTGTCCAGGTCTTAAAAGGATGTGTTTTGGTTGTTTTCCAGAATGCCTTATATTGAGACTGGATGTACATGAAAAACTTCCTAAAATGATTAGAGGTATGCCATAAATTCCCTAATACTTCGCTTATGAAACAGATGGGCATTGCTGCTGTGGTGCATCTCTACGTTTTCCCTGCCGCACCATACAAGCGTGGAGAAAGATGTGTGCGTAATGTAGCCGTGATGGCGGATTATGCATCTTTGGACTCCCCAGCAGACCCTGAAGAAGTTAAAGATTGTGAAAGAAGTACCAGAGTGCGGATTGCTCGGCATGATGAGAGAGAGAAGTGTCCAAAATTTCACCAGAGTGTTCGGGATGTGGTAGTTGGAAGTAGTGGAATTGTAAGAACACACTCTGCTTATTCTTACCATCCTCTGCCCATTTCTATTTACTTGAAAAGAAATTACTGCAAATCGGAGCAAAACGTGCTTTAATAAGAGTATCCTTGTTTAGTGCTAAAATTAGTGCTAAAATGGGACTCATTCAAGGTAGTTAATGATTCTTCTTTTGGAGTGAATGAATCATATTTTCAGGGGAAAATGATGATGGTCTTGTTTAAAGAAATTTGTAATGTTTTAGTAGTCCCTTTTAGGGAATTTTCCCTTAAATTCATCCTGTTTGTTATCAGAATTAAGTGAATTGTATTCTGCTCCCATTTCTATGATTCTAGATTGTTGATGACATGAAGTTCACTGTTTCTCACGTTGTGGAACCGGTTGAAAGGGGCCTTGCAAAGATAAACAAAAGGTTTCACCAAATATCTGAAAATGTAAAGCGGCATGAAAAAGTGAGGAAGAAGAAATCCAAGGATGACAGCTGTCTTGTTCCTTTGAACTCATGGACAAAGGAGTTCTGTGATGTACGTGATGACTCTATTCAAGGAAGTGTGAGTGATGGTGGGTTGCCTGATGGAACAGTATCCAGTAGGGCGTCTTCATCCCGACTCAGGTACAGATAGCAGACACTTTCTCTGACCTAACTCACACTGCCCTCTCTAATTGAACAGCACAGTTTCGGACAGGTATAACTAATATACTACTTACCTGCAAAGTGCATCGTTAAGAGAGACCTGTAATGTTCTCCTGACTGACAATAAAACATTGTATAAACTGCTATAGATGTTGCATTTTTGCACTAAATACAATTGTTTGATGAATGAACTACAATACCACATAAGTACATATCAAGTGATTTTTTTTTTTGCTTTGCGTCTTATATTCCTAGTGGAATGTTTTTTACACGGAAATCTTGTAGGCAATTTTGAACACCCATGTGAAACTCATTGGGTTTTTACCATGACTGACCTAAAAATGACAGCCGTGTCACTGGATGGGAAATTGTGAAGTTATCTTAACCCGCTCACTTCATAATCATACATATTTGTTCATGCAGGGATACATAAGTAACAATTAAGCAAGTGTTGTAAATTAAGGATGGCCATGTATACTCCCTTTATATCCTATCTTTTTGGATCGTTCTGAAATAGTCTTCCTTTTCACCTTCAAGTGTACAAACAACATCAAAGTCTTGGTCCCAAAAGAGTTTCTCCTCAAGTGTCAGGGAAAAAAATAGCTCACATTCTTTCATTCCTTATTAAGCAAATTTTTTAATAAAAAAGTCAAGCTCGAATATAAAATGAGGACAGGTGGAGTACTATTCTAATATTAGTACTCAAACTCTATGTGTAGTCTTCTTCGAATGATTCATACACAAAGAAAGTTGGATTCCGCTGCATACCCGATAGTCTTTTTTGAATGATTTATACATGTCAAGAAAGTTTCTTTTGAATGATTCATACACATTAAGAATGTCAATACAGTAACTCTGTAAACCGTCAAGATGCAATGTAGATTATAAAGTTAATGTTTAGATTTTATGAGGGTAGTTGGTATAATAGCTCCACGTGAAGTTATTCCATTAGCTCCGAGAAAGTTCTATGATGCAAAGTTAATAGTGTATAATGCATTACTATACTCTAGTTGCATCATTGCATGTAGGGATGGACCTGGGTCGGTTCAGTCCCGGTTTCGGGCTGAGACCACCCGGTCCAAAAAAAAACTTGCCTTGGCTCGGGTCTGACCTGCTTTGTTCTAGGTATGGGCCAGTTTCGAGTACCCGGTCGGTCTGGTCTCTGACCAGGCTCCCGTTATTTTTTTAGTTATTTGGCTGGACAGAAGCCTAAAAAACGGATAGGGACTAAAACAGGAATTGGAAACGCCCGGTTTGGTCCCCAAAATTGTAAATCGGGATCGTAAACCGCTCTAGGGCGGACAGGTTTGGTCCCAGGCCCGAAACGGCTCTAAACAGACTCGGTTTGATCCCAAACAGTGTTGGACCTGGGTTCGGACCGGGTTGGACTGCCGGATCACGTCCATCTCTAAGTGTACTTCGTGTGTTTCTATTTGTCAGTTTAGGTTGATCAAATCACAATGAGACTTTAGTGTTTAACCAAAAGAGCTCTTGTTAAAAGTAGGGGTAGATCCGGGCCGGGCCAGGTTGGGCCTAGGCCCGTGTGGGCCGCCGATTCTGAATAAGTGGGCCCGGGACCGGCCCGGGTAGCCACCGGGTCCGGTCTGGCCCGGGCCTCGGGTCATTTTTTTCCTTTTCCTAATTAACCCCCCTCCCATCCCCACCCCCCCCCCCCCAAACCACCCCAAATGGCCCAAAATACCCAGCCCAACCCGAAAAGTTAAAAGAAATTGCAAAAAAAAACAAAAATTAAAAAGCCCGGAATCGGGCCCGAATTGGCCGGGCCGGTTCGGCTTTTGGGTGACCCGAACCCGCACCGGGAACCCCTCGGGCCGGGCCTATCCGGACCGGTCACTGGCCGGGCCACCGGACTGGTCCGGTTCAGCACAGTGCCGGTTCCGGGTTGGGCCACCCGGCCCGAGTCCACCCCTAGTTAAAAGTGGCCCTCTCTTGGGAGTTGGGAGAGGGGTAAACTGAATAATATTAGTACTACCTCCATCCCATAATGGTTGTCTCATTTTAATTTGGCACGATTATTAGTGAAGTGGTTGAAAAGTAAAAGTTGAGGTTTAGTTTTGTGTAAAATGAAGTGAAATGATATGGACCACAAATTTCTTACCAAAAAGGGAAACATGACATTCATATTCATTTTGGGACAACTCAAAAAAGAAAGTAAGAACCAAAATAGGATGGAGGGAGTACAAGTCTATAACACGGGTGAATTAGTCATTAGCGAATTGGGAAAATTGATAGTTTTTAACATAGTTACAGTTCCATAAATGGAAAGATGAAATGGAGCAATGGAAAGTAGGGATGGACCCAACCGGGTCGGCCCGCTACTGGTCATCTTATGTAGATGAAGATAACAACGGTGCTTTATGTACACGTTTCAATTTTACATGCCACATAGATAGTGCTCATAGGTACACGTTTCAATTTTACCTGAAAAGGTACACATTATTTTTGAGAGTGTGAACGTGAAGAAGCAATGTTAGTTCATAGTGCTCATGTGGAGCATTTGGAAAAGGCGATATTAGTGGTGTGTAAGGAGGAACCACGTGATGGGGGTGATTTCATCCAGATTCCAGAGTGCAGTGGCTATGTTATCGGGGTGGAGGGAAGCACATGGGGTGGGTTCGGGGTCTGGCAGAAGTGCAGGCCGAATAGCAGGAGATGTCGGTTGGAAGAGTCCGGACGAGGGTTGGATTAAAATTAATGTTGATGGGACAGTTGATGAGCATATGAGTATCAGGTAGTGGTGATGAGTGGCTAGAGATGAAAAAGGGGCATTTGTTCGTGGACATATGGAGGAGGCAAAGGAGGCTAGTTAGTCTTTGACGGAGACAGAGGCGTACATGGTCTGGGAGGCTTTTATCGCAGCATGCAGGTTGGGTTGACAGAAAATTGAGATTGAAATGGATGCTCTAGTTGTGGTTCAAAATGTTTCCAAGTAATAAGGGTCCTCATATGTACAACTTTTTTTTTACTCCAGAGGGTTTGGGGGAGGGGGGTTGGGGGGTGAAGTAATCAGGGCTGAAACTCACTCCATTGAGTTTCAAAACCTTGTGTGTCTAGTGGGATTCGAACTCGAGATCTCTCACTCTTGGGTTGTAGACTATATACCTTCAACCAATACAGCCAGAAAAGTAACTAGAACCTTACTTTTTCTTATTATTACACAATTTAACACGCGAAAACAAGAGTTATGTATTTGATGAAAAAATTGGTTGATGAGTGTTATAAGCCGAAAAACAGTATTACCAAACGATCCCTAGAAGCGATAGAGATGCACGCAAGGATTTCTAGATATCGGATGTCCATATCTAGAAAAGCACATATGGAGTGACCTTGTGAATTTGAAATCAAGGATGGAAGAGAAAATGTTTACAAATTAAGGTAATTTGTCTATGGGTTGATGCTAGAACCTAGATTCTATTATGAGTGTACGACCATTTCTTATTTGCTAATCCAATGTGGTTTTAAAAATAAAATATAGAATATACGTAAGACTCTTCTCTTCAATCTCCAACATGGAGGGGCAAAATTATTATTGAAAATTATATGGGTGACATTATTTTTGGAAGTCTAGAAAGAGGGCTATGTGAAAAAATTTCCAAAGTTAATCGAGTAAAATTTGGGATGAATATTAAGGGTGAAATTTGTGCAAGTTAAGCTATTTTCTAAGATTGTTAGCATAAAAGATTTAAGGGGATTCATAATATGCAGAGTCGTCTTTTGAATAGTTTCCCTACTCCTACAGTTCTACCCCTCATATATTCGGCTGAAACCGTACAGCCGGTGACATTTTTGTAATTATGGTGAAAAACATGATGTTGGGTTATTGACCCGGAGGCCCAATACCCGGATCAAACAGGCCCAGGATACCCGGCCCAAACAATGAGTCCATTACCCTATGATGAGTAGATCCAGTGAAGAATTCATACCGAACGGGGTTCGGTCCAAGTAAAGGCCTGCCCAGAAAGAAGAGATACCGAACGGAGTTCGGACCATATATCATACTTGGGCCAATTTGACAGCGTCTTCAGCATGGTCCAACATCCCGTTCGAGCAACGGACAACCAGCAAGTGGCCAGGTGCAATTAATGCCAGATTGTGACATCAACAAGTGGAAACATGGGTGATCAAGTCGGTGAAACAACGGTCAATCATCATAGAGCAGCCCATGCTCTCCATTAGTATAAATAGAAGGTTTAAAATCATTGTAAGGGTTAGCATTTCAATACTCAAGCTCTAGAATAGCATTATTATCTTTGTTTCCTGTATTAAAGCACTATTCCGACCTACCGATCGGGAAGTTTCCTTGTAATCAGACAGGTTAATTAATACGAGTGGGCTTTTGGGTATTAGTGTTCATATTTTATATTTTGTTAAACACTTTGATTCTGGTCCATTCCTGATATATCCAAAGTTCGTGTTGGGCTTTCGGATCTACGGGACTTACCTTCAACATTGGCGCCGTCTGTGAGAAACTGTTCAAAAAGTTTCACATTCAAATATTCCAAAACAACTATTTTTAAAATGGACAGAATCAGTTCTTATCACACAAACGATGGTTCACGCCGTCACGGAAGGAGTCACACCCCGGGGAATCAAACCCCTCAGGGACAATCCAGCCGGGGATCATATCCTCATTTTGATGGGGACTTTGTGATTCCTGAAGCTCTAAGGGGGAATCCTCAGGCCATGCGAGATATGGCCCAGGTCATGCAACACATGGCAAATGAGGAAGAAGGAGGATCCAACTTTACAGGGGAAACTCCACGCACAGAAACGACCACGACGTCATCCCGCTCGCGGGCCCATCGGGATAATCGCCGTGGCGCTCCACCAACAACGCATCATATTCCCAGTGACCGGACCCCGATCGGGTCACAAGCCAGGGACCTACTCCTATTGGTCGTCATTTCCAGTATGATGAACGGAATAATACTAGGGCCGCTCAAAGGCATTGGGATCGGGAGTATACAGATTTGAGGACTCCACCACCACCCCCTTAGACGGCCCAGGAGGAAGAAATGGCTGAAATGAGGAGGCATATGAACGAGATGAGGGATCAGATGAATAGGGCGCCCGCACAGCCTGCCCCAATTCAGCTCGGGATTACTTCCCCTTTCACCAGGGAAATTATGTATGCGGACATCCAGGGAGGTGCCAAACCACCGGCCGGTCAAATTTATGACGGGGTGGGAGACCCCCAT